AGGTTCTGACGGGGTCAGAGTTCTGACGTGAGATTGGAGTTTCTCCGGAGCTCTGTACTTGAGCAGTCCAGAGACACCTGGGCCTTCTGTCTTGTGCCCCTCAGGCTGTCCAGCGGCGACTAAATGAAATTGAGACTGCTCTAGGGGAGCTGGAGGCTGAGGGCATGAAGGTGGAGCTGGCCTTGAGAAGCCAGAGCAGTGAGTAAAGACAGGAAGGACAAGCTAGGACATCCCTCCGCCTCCCAGCACTCCCTCAAACCACCAGACTCTGTCCCCAGCAGGCTCCACTCCTCATGCTCCTGACACCTCTGACCCCCCTCCCCCATTCCTCCTTCCCGTCAGGACCCCCAGAACGGCACAAGGCCCTGGGGCTGGAACAGCTGCTCCAGCTCGTTCAGAAGAAAAACAGCCTACTGGCAGAGGAGGCTGAGCTCATGCTCACGTAAGGGGCGGGGGGCGGGGGGGGGCGGTGACGGTTGGCACTGGAGCCAGACCCCAGCTGGGTCCTTGGGCACCCTGTACAGCTGGGCCTCTTCAATCCCTGCCCTCCACAGGGTGAAAGAGCTGAACCTGCAGGAGGAACAGTGGCAGCTGGACCAGGAGCTACGAAGCTACATGAACCAGGAAGGTAGGTGGCACATACACACAGCCTCACGACCTCAGGTACTGACCAAGCAACATGGTCCTCTAGTCTGAGTGCCTCTGTGGCATTTCAGGAGGAAGCCAGAGAATGGGGCTCCAAGCCCCTACTCTGCCTTCAGTTCAGTCAGAGCTGCACAGCTGGGCTTTTACGTTAAGATTACTTACTTTAAAAATGGTGCTGCTGCTGGGGCGCCTGGCTGGCTCAGCTGGAAGTGTGTGTGACTCTTGATCTCAAGGTCATGAGTTCAAGCCCCATGTTGGGCATAGAAATTACACATATATCGTGTGTATTATCAATCTAGACTTAAAATAAAAATGGTGCCGCTGAACAGTGCTAGCAAACCACTGGTGTGGACAGGCCCAGTTTTACAGATGAGGAAACAAGGCCCAAATTGTGGAAGTCACATAGGCTGGGATTAAGCTGTGCCTTTCCTGCCTCCCTGCCCAAGTCCCTGTTCTCTAAGCTTTGTTGTCTTCTTCAGGAGCCCTAAAGACCCCTGCCGATCGGCAGGCTGAGGACCAGCTCCTGAAGAAGCTGATAGATGTGGTGAACCAGCGAGATGAACTTATCCGCTTCCAGGAAGAACGCAGGCTCAGTGAGCTGCCCTTGGAGCCGGGGGCCCAGGGCTAAAAAAGAGGACAGGCTGCCTGCCCTCTAAGATCCCTACACGGAAAACCACCTCACCCCAGGACTGTGCTCCCCTGCTCATCTGGGAGGAGGCCTCACTGTTTGTTTACAATAAAAATGTTTCTGCCACAGACAGGGCTTAGGCTGCCTGCAGGTGGGAGGCAGGGTGTGTAGGGAGGGTAGGCATGTAGGAGCTTAACCATCTATATTATGACAGTCATAATGACCCTTGGCCCCAATCACTGCCTCTACAAGGAAAAGGCAGAACCACAAAAGTGTCAAGCTTTATTGTTCCTCAGTTCCATCCCCCTCCTGCTGCCCCAGGAACAGGGCTGGCTGAGACTCTGGGCCCAGATCCTGGGCCTCCCTTGCCCTTCCGAGCACATGCTGGAGCTCAGCCCGAGCCCCAGATAAGCCCTTGGCCTCCTGCACGTGGAAGACGTAGACTGCCCCCGCTCCCAGCAGCAGTCCTACACTGGGAGTCCAGAGTAGTATGGCAACCTCCCTCACCCCTCCTCCAGCTGCCAAGGCGCACAGCAAGGCCAGGAGAAGCAGCCCTAGACCAATCACGTAGCCGGCAAAAGTGGTCCACCAGCGAGCTTGAGCTACGCCCAGGTCCAGCTCTATCCAGGCCTCCTCTAATATACTGACCAACCGTGACCTTTCTGCTGGTCCTAGAATAGAGCAGGGCAGTGGGGTAGGAGAGAGTGGGTCAGAGTGGAGGGGCTGACTTGTGGTGGGGAGGGACCCCGGGAAAGGGTGACTTACCATGAGTAGGGCTAGGGGTGTGCTGGGGAGGGCTGTGTCTCACACACAGAGTAGCCATCAGGGCCTCATGATCAGAGAGGGGGGTGCCACTGTGAGGGTCGCAGCCTGTAGTGGTTCTAAGAGTCTTACAGGAGATGTAAAAGCCAGAAACCGCCTAGGAAAGTCAGGGCCAGAGAGAAACATCTTTGAGGGCCTCTTCCCATTCTCCAGCCATCAGTGACTAGACTAGACTAGCTTGACTAGACTAGCTGGACTAGACCAGCTGGACGAAAAATGAGCACAAGCTGGTGAAAGACAGAAACATGGTGGGTGAAGACACACTGAGGGAACAGGCCTGACCTTATACAGCACATAGTCAATGCGGATGCCAAACGGAAATGGCTCTAGCTCCCGCTGGTTGACGTAGCAGTTCTCAGGTAGCATGGTACAGCCTTCTTCAGAGCCCTAAGTGAATAGATGGTTCATACTAGGATGTAGGGAAGAAAAAGGAGAGAAGCTGAGGGTGTAGGAATGGAAATAATCAGACGGGTTCTCACCTTGAAATCCTGGGTCTCGAGGTAGGCATCATGAAGCCCTGTCCACTCCTTCAGCAGGCGGCAGCCCAGGTCCTTCGGGTGCAAGTTGAGGTCCCCACACAACAGAACCACATCGGCCTTCTTGGATGTGTGGCTGGGGGAACCAGGTTGGTGAGGCAGGAGCTCTTCCCTGACCAGCTCTGCCCTCCTTTAAGTGGCGCCCTGACCACCCCTCAACCCCTGGCCCATCCCACTTCCCTTGCCAAGCCCAGGCTCACACACTGGATGAACTGGGCCAGTTCCCAAGCTTGGGCCACACGATGTGTTAGGTAGATGTCCTTTTGTCGATTGTACTCGGCATGGAGCTGAGCAAGACAGGTGAGGTTATAGCAGATGAGACTGAGGGTTCCTACCTGAGGGTCTAAATCATGCTTGTGTCTGTCACTTGGCATGATACTTGGTTAAAAAATGGGCAAACCTTGCCCAGTAACCTTAGGAGATCCTGGCCCCAAGTTCACCCTCAGGCAGCCCAACTAGAGGAGCCCCATCTCTCCCTCCCAGAACCAGGCCCGCCTATCCCAGCCCTGCCAGCTTCACTCACGTGGGTCACATAGACATTGAGCACCAGTCCACTTAGATGGAGCACCAGCAGCCCCACAGCCTTCCCACAGAACCAGTCTCCATGATGGATCTGCAGGCAGGAGGGAGCAGGAACTCAGGGCGTGGCTATCCTCTTTCTGCCCACCCCCTGCAGCCCAGGGAAGGCTGCCTCTACCATGTGTTACTGGGGGGGTGGGAAAGGGAGGCAGAAGAAATCTGACATAAGGCTTACCATGTAGGGGTACCCATTGAGGGTATAGACGTGCTGGGTGAATTCCTGGATAGGATGTTTGGAGAAGACGCAGAGACCACTGCCAATGACACCACTGCAAACCAAGTCCTGATTAATAGCCAGAAAAGTAGGAAGAGAAATACCCAGCCTTCCCCTCACTCCTCTCCCAGCTGTATCAGCTACTTTTTATCTCAGTTTGTTGCTGAGATAGCACCAGAGCAAAGCTCAAAGCAACAGTCTTTGTGGGACGAAAGAGTGACTTGATAAGGCTGGGATGGGCTGAAGAGCGAGAATCTTCCCGGTTCCACCTACTCTTGCACCCACACCCAGAGGAGAGGGCTCTGGGAGAGAGGAAGGAGGATGCAGGCAGGACAGGGGGATGCAGGCAGGACAGGGAAGGGCTGGTAGGACCGAAAGCTTCCTGATCTGAGAACAGGCTTCCAGACGGGTTAGGTAGGCTTCTCACCTACTGAAATAGTGTGCAGCTGGGTAGGTGGGCAACAGCTTCTGTCTCAGGTACTGGAAGTCCTGCTCACTCCACACCTGAAGGAAGAGGTGAGGATGCCTGCCTGCCTGCCCGCCCGCCCCCGGGAAACGTCCCATCCTGAGCCACCAGCCGCCGCCCACCCCGTCCCAGTCAGGGTTCCACACCAGTTCCACACCGCCCACCTCCTCCAGCAGAGCTAGGTCGAAGCTCTCCATGTTCAGAAAGTCTCCCAGGCGCTTCATGCGGTCGCTCCGGTGCTTGCTCAGGTAGGGAATGGCCCTGAGGACGAGAAGGGCCAGGCAAAGTGATGGCTGGAGGCGCTGCGCTCTCCGCGCACCGCAGGAGCTGGGGCCGGTGTGGGCCTGGAGGTGCGGGTGCCCCCCGCCCCCGGAGACTGGAGGACAGGGTAGAGCCGTGGCCCGGACGTGAGGGAGGCTTCCCTCTTCTGGCTGTGGGTGCGAATGGAGCTGTGGCCCCGGACCCACCCCGCGGGCGCTCTCACCAGCAGTTGAGGTTAAAGATCCTCAGTCGCAGAGAGAAGGTGGGCTTCATGGCGAGCGCGCTCCGCAGGCGTGGGACAACACTACCTCCCCGGCGACTGCTGCGGCTGGAAGCGTGCGTACTTGCGGCACCTCCTCCCGGGGCCGTGCGCACAGGTGGTCGGCCCCGCCCCCGTGCTCCCCGGAAGGCCGCGGCCTCCCAGTCCGCGCGGCTCAGGCCCTGGGCGGGGTCAGACTCCGCGTTGCCCGGGCAACCAGCCCACTGCCCCCCTCCTCTTCGCCCTCCCCCCCCGCAACTGGCTGCCCGCCAACCCGGAAAGGCGATCTACTGCGAAATCTGGCGCTGCCGGGAGGCGAGGGCGGCGCGCGCCGTTTCCTGTAGGGGCGATACCAGAGGGGGTTCGGGTGGGCTGCCAGCCGGGCCGAGGCACGCGGGGCTTCGGCGGAGCTCCCCGTTCTTTTTCGCAGAAGCTCCGTCCCCCGGCCACGGCCGCCCGCGCGCCCTCTCCCGCCTCTCGCCGGGCTCACCAGCAACAGGCGCAAAGTTGAGAGCGGACCCGGCCGTCGCCGCCGGCCAACTCACGTCCCTCCTCCCAGCTGGAGACGGGGGCGGAGCCGCGCGGTTGCCCCGGCGACGCGCAGTGTTTGTGCTCCGAGCAGTCCCCCAGCGCCGCCATGGCGAGCCCGAAGCAGCGTCGGCCAAGGTCGGCCCGGTGCCGCTCGCAGTCGCCGCCCGAGCAGCCGCTGCAGGTGAAGGTGGTGGGGCTCTTCAAAACCTCCAGCTTTCAGATTGCGAAGAGCGCTGCTGAGGTAACCGCGAGAAAACGACACGTGCGGGTGGCCCTTCAGGTTTCCCGGTCTCGCGCCTCCTGGTGACAGGGGTCGATGTTCCGGGAGGTAGGGATGTGTCCCGTCCAGGCAGGCTCAGTCTGTACCTCCCAGGGGGCAGGGTCGGGTAGGCTGGACGTTCCACTTCGAGAAGGGCTACCTTTAAAAGGGTATCGGAACGAAGGAAAAGTTCAGAACCTTGCTGGGTGAGGGAGGGTAATTCCCTCCTCTAGATATCCACATATTTTATTTCCACAATTTTTACTTGCGTTATGGATTTTAAAAATTCATGAAAAAATATTTAGGAAGAAGTGATACCGTATAACTACTGATTTTTGTTTCTTTTTACGAATTACCTCAAGTGATTTTTGGAAACTTCATTCGGGAAGTTTTTTGGGTTCGCCTCCTTTAAATTTTCTCTAGCATTTACTGCATTCCAATCGAATTAGGTGCTTAAGGGATTCTCAACAAATGACCCACAAGTGCTTTGGAGAATCCAGATATTTCTTTGTAAACACACGGAACGCTATAAAAGGAAAAACACTTTAAGCAACTGGAAGAACTTGGCCAGGTCCGCCGCGGTACAGCACACATACTACCCAAATGCAGGAGAAATGTAGAATTCAGCACATCTTTGGCGTTTGCTCCGGGAATGCTACTGTTAAGATTATGCCAAAATTCTCTCCTTCAAAACCCCACCAGACTCTAGGACCATGCCCTGTCCATGTTTGTGTACCCCAAAGTATCCAGCTGGATACCTGACACAAAATGTTCTCAAATAGAAGAAATCTTAAGCAATTCCTGCTGGCTCGAAGTCCGCAGAGTTAAAAGTATGTAATTATATCAAGTGAAGAAATAAACTGTCGACCTTAAAAGTAAAAGTTATTTTACCAGCAAAATGCGTTTATTTGATACTAGCACAGGAATAGCAATTTGGGACACAGAAGCTATGGCAAACCAAAGGCAATCTGGGACATCACAAAGGGCAGGTACATTATAGAGAAAAGGAGGAAGCTGGGAGAGGCTGCTCTGAAGAAAACTCCACTGATAGAAAGTGAGAGAGTTCAGGGTGGTGAAAGTCTCACCGGCTGATTATCGTATTGGCTGTGCTTGTTGCTTAGCAAGGAGACATTCTCCTTTCCTTCTGCTGGAGGAGTAAAATAGACTTATTCCTGTTGGGAATACAAGGTTTGTCTCTTCCTGACCTGCTGCGGTCTGCAATTGAGGAGTGGTGGGGTAAAGCATGAGAGCTCCCCCTTCTGGCCTCCCGACTCCATTTTAAGTGAGGTTTCCTTTGCTCAGTTTCACAGTAACTAAGTTGTGAAACAGGTGAAGTTTACATCAAGAGGAAGAGAACAAGCAATAAGTCTTTGAAAACGATACATGGATCATCAAAATAAGTAGAAATTATGGGCTGTTAGCTGGGCTGATGGGATCTATAAAGTTTATGGCTCAAGTTGTATTTAATGAATTTAAGGAATTTTTTTACCTTTTTCTTTAGCTCCTTTTCTGAGGGCACATGTTTTTTGTGCCTGCTCCACACTGTAGAGAAGGTGTTGGCAATTTTTTTCTGTAAAGCCTAGATGTTAAATTATTAGGCCTTCAGGGCCATAGGCTGTCAGTCACGACTACTAGACTGTCCTTGTACAAAAGCGATCACAGACAATATGTAAATGAATGGTGGTTTGACAATAAAACTTAATTATGAGTACTGAAATTTGACTTGCATATAATTTCACATGACACGAAAGACAATTCTTTTTTTTTTCCAACTGCTTAAAATCTAAAAATTCTTCTTAGCTTTCAAGTCTTAGGAAAACAGGCAGATTTGGCCTGCTGGCCACAGTTTGCTGTCCCCTGCTGTAGAGGATGCTAAGTCAAGAAAACAATGTCTTTGTTATATTAGTAATGTTAATTTTCCCTTTCTTGAGCTTTTGCCTACTGTAGCTTTATTTGAATATGAAAACCTATCAGTGTAAATTGAGTTAGTTCGACCTTAATAAAGGATATGGCTTGGAATAATTTCTCAACATGATCCTTTGGTAAGCAATCCTGAATACCTAATTTATTGTCAGAGATTTAGATTTGTGAAGAGTAAATATTACATAGATTCTAATCTGGATGTAGTCCATCCTGGATACTAACTTATGAAGAAAGTATGATGAAGTATGCTTAATTTGAAAACTGTTGGGCTTATTAGTTGTTCTAGATGGTCCCCCAGTTAGAAACACAATTGCCTCAAACTAAGCACGGACCCTGGAACTGTGACAAAGGACAACATCATCATCTGTTGGTTGGGCAGGAGTCTAAGAAGGAAATGACCCAACTGCTATTGCTCTCTACAGCTCCCCCTGATCCCAAGGGCTTTCTCCTCCTTGGAATATCCACCCCTGATGAAACATGCCAGGCCAGTGTCCTCTTTTAGGCCATAGTTGGACCGCTAAGCAGTGTCCTTAATGGAGAAGGTACCCACTGCAGCAGCCTGCTGTCACTGTTCCTTGTTGGAGAGATCCCCTCCTCAGCCCCGCTCAGAAATGTGAGGGCTGTTAGTGCCTCCTCTGCCTTCTCTCGCTTGACCAGGAGGCAAAATGCAACATACCAGGAATCAAAACTTTTTTTTTTTTGACAGGAATTGTTAACCAGTAAGAATTTTCTCTGATCTGTATAGACAAAATAATGTATGTTACACCAAAACATGCTCAGTATCTAAACCTAAACATATTTAGTATTTATTTCACTTTTTCCAAAGGGGTTGTAATCGCACCAGTATCCTTTTGGTCATTCTCCACATATTGATAAATTAAAATAATAACATTTATTTTAAAGTTATCTGTAGAGGGAGGGGGATGGGTTAAACAAGGGTTGGGGATTGAGGAGGTCACATGTCCTGATGAGCACCAGGTGATGTACGGAATTGTTGAATCACTATATTGTACACCTGAAACTGATAAAACACTCGTTAAAATAAAGTAACATCTTCTTTTCATTAAAAAAAGTATCTGTAGATCCCCTAAAGTTTAATTTAGGGAAAAACTGGTCCTAAAAGAACACGGCAAATCAAAATTTATTTGTTCATTTGCTCATTCATTTGCTATGTGTGGATGGTCCACTACGTGCCAGATGTTGAGGCCAGTGGGAGTATAGAAAAACTAGAATATAGTCTTGACCCTCAAGGAGCTTATACTCTAGAAATGAGAGACCAAATAAGCCAGAGCCCCAGGATAAGCTGTGGAGTGAATTAACGGAGGTAAGCACAGGGGCCTCTGGGAGCAAGAAGGGGGCATCCAAGCCAGATTGTGTGGCCTGGGTATGCACTGTATAAAACCTCCTGAAGCTCCCATAAAAATTGGGGGAAATGATTTCTACCTTAAAAGAGAACTTACTCTAAAATAATTATTCTATTTTGAAACCTAGACGCTGAAGAGTAATTATCCATCCAAATTTGAAGATCCTATAGTAGTTCCTCTTCAAGAATTTGCATGGGATCAATATCTACAGGAGAAAAAAAGGGTAAAGGATATTTGGGGTATGGGAAATGAACAAAGTTTTGCCTCAATTATTCATCTATGCATTGTTTTGGAAAAACTGGAGCAGTGATTTTAGAGCAACTTGATTTGATTTCTCTAAATTATATACTTTTCCTAAATCATTTCAATCATTCTACCAGGCTGATTTTAAGAAAAAGTAAAATATTTACAGGATTTTCTTTTGGAAGACATGTGACAAAGGTAAGTTTTAGACTCCCAATGCTGCTATTTACCCCAGCTGATGGTTAGCCCGCTCTCCCTGCACACCGCTTACTCACACTTCCTGTGACACCTTGGCATTCGTGGTCCTTACTTTGGAAGGTCTTTGGTGGTCTACAGCACAGACACAGTGTGGGGCTTGTGTGGGGCAGGGGAGGGGGGGGCTTGTGGCCCATGGAGCTCTGATGACAGGCACCAAGTTCCCACAGGGCAGCCCTGTCCTAATTAAAGCTTCCTCTCTGCCTTCTCCCCACTAACAGCACCCTTGGAGAACCCCAGGCCCCAGGGCTAGCAGAGCCTGCCTAAGGAGGGCAGATAGGTTTCCTCTTGGGTGCCAACCCTGATCATCTGGTAATTCTGCCTAGAACATGTGATACAAAGAGTTCTAAGATGGCATCCTGGCCCAGCCATACGTCACGCTGGGGTTAGGCAGGAATGGGGTACACTTCCTGCTTGCCATCCCTGGCCCAGAACCGTAAAGTCCCAGTCCTGGTTTCCCTGCCCCACCCTACCTCCCCAGTGGCTGATGAAATCCCACGTCCCCTGACCAGAGCAGTGGTTGCACGAGGACGTCCTGTGACCCTGTGGTTTATCCTACAGTGTTGCTGTACGGTACGATGGCACTGTGCAGTCACGTGAGTGCTGCAGGACGGAGGCCACACTACATTTGTTAAGTCTCATACCATTTTCAGAGCCATGATACATTCTCATTGGAATTCAGATAGAACAGTAGCAAACATCTACACACAGTGCTTATTATATGCCAGATGCTATTCTCTTGACTTATGTACGTATTAACTCCAATCCTTACAACAACTGGGGTGACCAGTGGTCCTGCTTTGCCTGGTTCGGAGGGCTTTCCTGGGAGCAGGAATTTCAATGCTAAAGCTGGGACAGTCCTAGACAAACTGGGACAGCTGGTCAGGACAGTTGGTTACCTTATCAAAAATATGTTTTTAATTTTTTTTTTATCACCAAACTACTTACACTGCCTACCAGTCTCAATACTGTCCACCTACAGAAGAGCCATGATCTCGTGCTTTGTAGTCTGCACCCATTCCTTTTACAGATTCCCACTGGATTCTTAAAGACTGCTGTGGATTCCATTCTGCAGTTTCCAGCCACTTCAGCCTGGGTTTACTGACCTTGGGCTGTTCTGTGTTTTCTTCCTTCTGCTTTTCTCATGGGGCCTGAATGAGGCTTTCTAGGTAATCACTGCTGCTTCTTTCCACCTACTCTTTATTCCCTATCCTTCCTTTCTTCCTTTTCTCACCCTCATCTCTTGGACACTTGCCACTTTATCCTTTTCTTGTTTCAGGCCAGTTTTTGTCCTTCCTCAATGTAAGCATTGTGCCTTGTGTCATATGTAGTGCTCTTAGCACATCTGAGGTTAGGTCTGCGCTGGCCTTATGTTTCAGCAGAATGTAATGCCTCCCCTGAGTGGTGGCTTCTGGGCCTTTGGAAAAGCTTTTCTCCTCCCTCCAAAGAAGGCAGCATCTTATGTCTCAGTGCTGGAAAGTCCCAGAAACCACTGGGTCCAGGACATTATCTTAAGCATGTGAGGGGGCCTCCTCATGCACAGAGGACACACAAAGATGAGGCATCTACATCATCAGCCTCCGAGTAAAGTATACCTCCTACTGCATTTCTCCCACCAGGCTAAATAAATATCCACATTAGCCATACCCGGGCTAAATAAATATCCCTTTTTAAAGTTTTGCATTCTATAAAATGTGATAACACTAATAAATCTAAACAGTTTAGGGACTATTGACCCACAGGCTTTATCAGTGATTTATAGTTCAGCCTGAAGAAGTTTATTCTTTTCTTCAAACTAGGTTTTAATATGGGTGTTGGAATGGGATATGAAATCTGGGAGAAGAGCAGGGAGTGCAACAAATTGGCAAGCTGAAGGCAAACTGTTCCCCAAACCAGCATTTCCCCAAGTGTGGTCTCCAGACCAGCAACGTCAGCATCTCCTGGGATGTTGTTAGACACGCAAATTCTCAAGCCCCATTCCGGAATCAGAATCAGAAACTCGGGTGGGGCTCAGGAATCTGTAATTCTGCTTGCCTGCTAAAATTTGAGAACAGCTGTCCCAAATTATTCATACTTTTGCCAGGACTGGCACTGGGTCATAATAAACCAGATCCATCTTCCGAGGGGGCATTACTCACACACTGGGATTCAGGAGGTTGACTGTTAGTGTTTGGATAAACACACAAATGCACTTCATTTTAAGGGGCTTAGACTTGGAAGTGTTGACAAAGGTGAGTTCTCTCCCTCTTTACACCTGCGGTCCACCAGAAGTCCCTGCTGGCCCCCAGGAGGCATTTCCTTTCCCTGACCCCACTCCCTCAAAAAAGCATTCTTTCCATCCTTGGCACTGAAAACCATGTATTATTCAGAATCCTTAGCCTTTCCAAGTATACACACAGTAAAATGTATTTCAGAAATGAAGCCAGAGACTGCATTTTGTTTTCAAGTTAACATAACACGTATGCTATGCATACAGATTTTTATTACCAGATCACTGTCTACTTTCAATGACTGTACCATTTTTAGTATTTACTTTTAGGTCATTCTTTGCTTTCAGTGATATCAGATTCTTAAAAATGTTCTTAAATTCTATTTGAGAGCAAAATTCAAAAAGATGGCAAAAAAAAAAAATCCATTTTGTTTTAAAGATTCAGTTAGAGTCTATCCCAGTTGGGCTCTGGCTTGTGGGTTTATAGCAAGGTTGGTTCCCCCCCACCCCCGCCACAATACAGTTTTTTTTTTTTTTTATCCTTTTCCTTTATAGGAACTCAAGAATGAAATCTGGGAATATTCTTCCTATGTGATGTGTTTTGTTAACGATCAGCTCCTGGGTGATGCATTTGATCTTCAGAAATGGGCTCACAAGATGTGGGATGTAGTTGATTTTAAGCCCCCTGAACTTTATGAGGCACTTACTGTGGATTATTCTGCTAAATTCTTAACAGACACCAAGGCAAGTTACACTAATTTTTGAAGAAAAATAGTGGAATCTTTGATCATTTATATTGATTCAGCATAAATAACTGATATCCTAACAAAGGAATATAAATGTTTAAGAGTAGGTTTTAAATTCTCAGTGGCCTATAATCCAGTTGCAAAGGATTATATATAATGTTGCAGGATTTGGCTGAACAGTTTGCAAAGCAAGCATACCTCACAGCAGGCAGACTGCACAGGGGGAGAGTATCCCTGTTCAAACATTTCTACTCCCCATTAGAGATTTATATGCATTAATTATCCATTTTAAAACATAAAGAGCCCTCCCCCTGCTTCAGAGAAGTTCGAGCCCATCATCCATTCACCCTTAGTATGAAAAATTTTAATTAGTACTGTCTAACACCTAAGTGAGAGGTGCTGCACTAAGAGAATGGAAAATTTGAGAAGAAAAGTGACATTTTAAAGATTTTATTTGAGAAAGAGAGAAAGAGCACAAGTGGGGGGTGAGGAGGGGCAGAGGGAGAGGGAGAAGCAGACTCCCCACTGAGCAGGGAGCCCGGTGCAGGGCTCGATCCTAGGACCCTGGGATCATGACCTGAGCCGAAGGCAGACGCTTAACTGACTGAGCCACCCAGGCGCCCTGAAAGGTGACATTTTAAAGCATGACACATAGCTGGCAAGAGCAGGACCAGACAAGCTAAGGCCCTGGGGAGGTTTCCAATGGACAGTCATGAAGCTTGAGGTCCAGGAGAGAGAGACAGACATCAGGGTGGAATGGCAATAGAGGTAAAAGTACTTTGTAATTTTGCTCAGAAACTTGTTATAGCCACAAGAACCACATGCTGAAAATCATTTCCTGCTTATGGTGGCCTGTGCCCACAGAAAGACCCAGTGCTAGGATTTGAGCTGTAAAAAGGCAAAGACCTTTGTTTCCTTCATCCTCATTTAACTGTTAACTGCCTTGAACACAATCTGAAACATAGTATGAACTCAGTGAATGTCTGGTTGAATAAACAATGCACTTGGAAAATACTAGAAACTCTGGGGTATGGGGAGGAATGTAATGTTCACAGCAGTTAATTCGCAAAAGGACAAGAGTCTAAAAGTGCATGATGTATTCAGGGAAGGGCAGGGGACAGCAAGGAGGCCAGAATTAATAGGAAATGAGGCTGGGAAAATGAGTATCAGTCACCAACAATACCAGGCTACTTAAGGACAAAAGGGATGCATTGAAAGGATATTGGTAACCTCACAATTGACAGGAAAGCTGGAGAACCAGGTTTTGGAAAGCAGGTGGGAACCAAGGGAGGCCTGGCAGCAGGAAAACGTGGCTAGAGTCACGTCCCATAAATGTGCAGCTAGGATGTTGCCATGGGTGCCCACTGGCCCCAGGTTCACACTGCCACGTTCACTGAGAATTACTTCTCAACTGGTGTCTTTGCATCATTCCCTGGACATCCAAGGCCCCAGGCAGGAGCACCTGACTAACCCAGCCCAAGTCATATCCCCACACCCTCACTCTCACTGAGTGGGGGGAGGAGAATCTGGCCCCTTTAGTGTCTTTACAGGGTGGTGGGTCACGTAGAGAATGCTCCAAAGGGAAACATCCCCAAATGTTAAAGAGGGGGAGAAAAAAAAATCCACTAAAGAAAGGTTGAACTTAGTCCATTCTGAACTCCATTCTGAACTAAGGAGTTAGCTTTTTTCCTAGAAGGAAGCTGAGCCAACAGAACTTTTCATAAAGAGTATGACATAATCTTTGCTTTTTTGGAAAAAGTTTTAGGGCTGTGCAAAAACAGGGTGGAGTAGGGAGACCTTGGTGGCAGGGTGACCACTAGGAACACTGCTATAGTAGTGTGGCCTAGAGATGATGACAGCCTGAATTCATGGCAGTGAGGAGGGAGGACCTGGATTCCAGAGAAAATCCTTAAATTTTTTTGTGCAGAGGCTAGATTTTTCTTGCTGCAGGGACTTGTTTACTTCTGGGTTGCAATGATATACCAGATAATTATGTCTGCATGTTTGGCTGCTAGGTGACATTACCTTGTGTTGTGCTTATTTGCTCTTTCATTAGAATTGTCAGAATTATCTACTCTTGACAACTGCATAGAGATAATATATTGACACAGAGGGAAGTGTAATGCTGCCCGAACGGACTTACCCGTTTCATAAATGAATCGTGATTTCCAGTCTGTCCCCTTTTTCCACCCGAGCCTGCTCAGTTTACTACATCACGCCTCTTACAATAAAGTTACACTATTCTTTTATAATTCAGAACTTGTAGTACAGAAGCTCAGAGGCACAAAAAAGTTAATCATAATTACTATGGACATAATACTTCCTGGATGCCAGATAACACAATCATTACAGTCTCTTAATTAAAAAAAAAAAAAAAAAAGGGCTCAAGTGACATACAGTAGTGACAGTGATACCGTAAAAGTGATTTCATTTATGTTTCCTAGATTCTTAAGAAATAGGGCAGGGCAAGTTATGTGGCTTGTTAAATCAGGTGGCATCTTTATGTATAAGAATGGTGCCCAAGATTTGAAATATATCCCATTAGATGCACTCTGCTCCCTAAACGAATGCTACTGTGATGGAGACTGTGTTTTCACTTTGGATGCCTCTTTGTAGAGCTAGCTGAGATCACACAAATGTTAGCTGTCTCTATCAGGAAGGATGCCAAATGAGCATGACTGAAATAACACGAAAGCACAGCATGTTCTCTTCCCTCCCCCCGGCCCCACACCTCCTGTGGGTACGGTGTCCTTGTTCCCTCAGAAAGGACGTGACCGGCTCCGGGCGGCTAATGCGCGCTCTCTCTCAAAATGGAGAACATATGGTAACCAAATCCATGGCGCTCATGTTGGATGTTTCCCAAAATTACTCAGGACAGAAAATTCTGTCATTTCTTTCCCCAAAAGGACCAACTAGTGTTCCTTTCCACACCTATTTTGCAATGTAGGGGGTATCTAGGCCATGTGTTCTCAGTCTGGTGTGTAGGTTAAGATTATTCAAAGCTTCGCTACTACAGGGTTTTATTTATTTTTTTTTAGATTTTATTTATTTATTTGTCAGAGAGAGAAAGAGAGCATGCACAAGCAGGGACAGCAGAGGGAGAGGGAGAAGCAGGCTTCCCGCTGAGCAGGGAGCCCGACGTGGGGCTCGATCCCAGGACCCTGGGATCATGACCTGAGCTGAAGGTAGATGCTTAACCGACTGAGCCACCCAAGTGCCCTTGCTTTTGAAATCTTATCACTAAAAACATTATTCTGTGGTATTTTTGGTCATTTCTAAAACTTTCTTCCAGACACTGACCTGCATTATCTTTTTCTCCCTAATTTTAATAGCATGCTTTTGTGTTCTTGGACATTTCTATTGATTGTTATCCAATTGGAAGACTGGTTTTTGAGGTAAAAGGCTTTTTGTTGTTCTTATTTATTTTTGTTATTTTTTTAATAAGTGGGAGGTAGAGGTAGGTATCTGTAACTGTCAAAATATTAAATATTTAATCTTTGAAACCCTTTATTTTTATTTGTAGCTATACTGTGATGCATGTCCCAAAACATGTAGAAACTTTCAGATCTTGTGCACAGGAAAAGCGGGGTATTCTCAAAGTGGCATCAGGCTACATTACGTAGGTTCGATTTTTCATCGAGTAGTGCCAAATGGTTGGATCCAAGGAGGAGGTAAGTTTAAAATCTTAAATGCAACTTAATTGTAACGTCAAATCAGAATGTCCAGAAATTTATCTATATGCATTTGTGAAATGCATATAGAATTAGATATATTTATATTAGATATTATATATATATTGAAAAGATATTTTATATGGCCAAATGATTAAGATATTCATACTCTTTTTAAAAATGTCATAAATTTTGAAGTAAACAAATCTAAAGTTTTATTACCCAGAATATTACAAATTAAAAAGTGATATAAGATAGGAAGATACCATTTTTTATATCAAAATATAATTTTAAATGTTCATCTAAATAGGGGATGCCTGGATGGCTCAGTTGGTTGAGCATCCAACTCTTGATTTCGGTTCAGGTTATGATCTCAGGGTTGTGAGATGGAGCCCCTGAGTCACTGAGCCCCTCATTAGGCTCCATGCCCAGGGTGGAGCCTGCTGAAGATTCTCTCTCTCTCTCTTCCCCACCTCTCTAAAAAAAAAAATGCTCATCTAAATAAATAGCACCTAGAAAACAGTGCTTTTAAGAGACATTCTAAAGCTAGAAATTTGAAAACAACTTATTTGTCACCAAAGATGTTACATTGTTACAGTGTAAAAGTAAGAGCTAAAGCATTTTGTTCTCCATTTTTGCTATCTTTTCAGGTCAGTCCTTTGACTTCACACAGAGTAGGTCTCTGACTAACAGCACAAAATTAAATTTTGAAGGCCTTTTGGGAGGTATCCCATAGGGAACAATCAGGCAGCAATTTAAAAATAATTGGCTTAGAGTGTAAGGAGATTTGCTTGAACTTGATGAAATATGCAGAGGCTTAAACTAATAATGCTTAATTATTTTTCTACAATCTGGAACATTCTGAGGCTGATGAGAAAAATGTAGTTTAATCCAGGCACTTGTATGAAAATCAACTATTTTTCCCTCAGTTTCTCCAAAAATGAGATCATATCACCCATAGTGTTACCTAACCTCATTATTTTCCCATTTCATATACATGTATGGTATGTCTTCCTATGTCAATAAACATAAACATGTACAATTTTTAGGGTCTGCCTAGTTTTTCATATATTGCTATACCAATTTACAGTTGGCCCTTGAACAATAAGGAGTTTGAACTGTGGGGGTCCACTGATTTTTTACAATACAGTACTGTAAATGTATTTTCCTTACGATTTTCTTTTCCTTTTATTTATTTATTTATTTGAGAGAGAGAGAGAGCTTGAGCAGGGGGAAAGGTAGAGAGAGAAGCAGGCTCTCCACTGAGCAGCAAGCGCAATGCAGGACTCGATCCCAAAACCCTGAGATCGTGACCCGAGCCGAAGGCAGGCACTTAACCGAATGAGCCATCCAGGCGCCCCTTTCTCTTTTAAAGACTTATTTATTTATTTGAGAGAGAGCGTGCATGTGCACATACAGGGTAGGGGCAGAGGGAGAGGGAGAGAGTCTTAAGCAGACTGTGTTGAGCGCAGAGCCCCATGTGGGTCTCAATCTCATGACCCCGAGATCATGACCTGAACCAAAACCAAAAGTTGGACGCCTAACTAACTGTGCCACCCAGGCGCCCCTTCCTTGATTTTCTTAATAACATTTTCTTTTCTCCAGCTTCCTTTAAGAATACAGCATATAATACATGTAACATACAAAATATGCGTTAACTGTTTATGTTACTAGTAAGGCTTCTGGTCAACTGTAGACTATTAATAGTTAAATTTGGGGGGAGTTAAAAGTTATACAGGGCTTTTCAACTGTGCAGGGGTTGGCACACCTAACCCCTGCATTGTTCAAAGGTCAGCATAATTAATTCCCCATTGGTGAACATTTAGATTGTTTTCAAGTATTTGTTGGTATAAAACCATCCTCAAGGGGACTAGTATCAGGGTCTCCTGAAACTTAGTTCAGTGTTGACTATTATGTGCTGGGCTCTCAGATGCTATGTTCTTTTTTGTTTTATTTTTGGTTTTTGGTTAGAGGTACACCTCCCCTTCCAGAGCTCCAGAGCAAGATTTGGGAAAAGTATGTCATATTACCTGTTTGTTTACTTATTTGAAATAAAATTTCCAAATAGTAAGATGCACAGATCTTGGGTCATGAGTTCAAATAATGAAGCAGCAATGTTAAGGACAGTTTGGGAAAAAATGCTGATTACTAGATTCAAACCCAGCCGATATATACCAGTTGTACCACTTAGTACGTAGGCACTTAGCATCTCTGAATCAGTTTCTTAGTCCTTACATGGGGAAAATTATAATATCACAGGATGTGGCAAGGATTCGGGATTCAGCGACATGGTATATTGGAAGTACCAAGCTCTACAAACGTTCTCCCTTCAGATGCCAGATTCGCACAGGGCTGTGGGGAGATTTTTGGAATATGGCTAATGTGGTTTTATGCTGTGCCTTGGGATGCCTCCCAACACTACTGGTTGCCTGATGGGACCAGCACGGCCTGTACGGTCTACACTACCCCTAGCCTCGCCTCATCCTCTTGACATCTCCGCTTGCTCTGCTCCACACAGTGGCCTCCTTGCTGTTTCCTAAGCACATAAAGCATACATCTGCTTGAGGTCTTTTGTTGATTCCTCTGCCTGGGGCACAGCCTACCCAGCTATGCCTCAGATATCCCCTTGCTTCAGCCTCTAATCTGTTTTGGATTTTTGCCCGGAGTTCATCTCAGCAAGACTTACCTGACCATCCTATTTAAAACTGCCACTTTCCCATCCACACAGGTCTCCTCACCCCTTTCCCTGCTGCTCTCCTATCTCCTAATTTTTATTTTTAAAATAAAATATTTTATTTTTGGTTCATAGCACTTGTCATCACTGGACATACTATCACATATTTCCTAGAGAATTTGTTTAGTGTCTGTTTCTCTTCATTAGACTATAAATAAGTTCCATGAAGGTAGAGGATTTTATCTATTTTGTTCACTGTTGTATCCCCAGGTTCCAGAGCAGTGCCTGGTATATAGTAAGGGCTTAAAAAATATTGTTGAAAGGATGAATGAATAAATGAACAGATAAACAGGAAACATACATTCTACACATTTTCTAAAGTACAAAATGAAAGAAGCTATCAAGTCGTGAAGCCACTTTGGTGGGATTCTCTGTCTGTGGCTCCCACAAGGCCTACTGCCTTCTGAAGGACCTCTTGAGAAAGACTTTAATACATTTTGTCATCATCATCATCATCATCATCATCAACAGTATAATGATGGTGAAGATGGTGGTAATGAGACGATGCATTCCCTAAGCATGCAATGCTGCGTGACTATGGCCACCCATGAATGAGCGTGGCGCTCTGCCCTGAGCTGCACCAAGTGCTGTCGGTGGAACATGATTTTGTTTAATCCTCAGAATTACCTGGGAGGCACTAAGCATTATTCCTGTCTATACAGATGAGGAAACAGGCTTGGAAAAGGTAACTAACATCAAGATTGAAATCAAAATTCGAACGATTATTCTGCATTGTAGAATTTGTTGTCAGAAGTACAGAAATAACAGATATATAAGGCTGAATTCAAGTACTGATTGAAATGGTGTCAATATAAAATATTTCCCTGGGAGAAAAATGAAGGAGGGGAATCGGAGGGGGAGACGAACCATGAGAGACGATGGACTCTGAGAAACAAACTGAGGGTTCTAGAGGGGAGGGGGTGGGGGATGGGTTAGCCTGGTGATGGGTATTAAAGAGGGCACGTACTGATTGGAGCGCTGGGTGTTAGACTCAAACAATGAATCATGGAACACTTCATCAAAAACTAATGATGTAATGTATGGTGATTAACATAACAATAAAAAATTAAAAAAAAAATAATTTCCCTGGAGGATGTGAAGCAAAGGGCAAGAGGGTGTTGGAGAGACAGGGCAAAGCAGTATCACCGATGCTGAAGTGAGTCAGTAGGGGTGGTGAACCACAGGCCGATGTGTCTGAGCAAAGCGAACTCTGGGATCAGAAGGAATCGGTGCTGGAGTACGTGTGACTTCCCCATTTCTGGAGTTAGCCTTCCGCCACTACAGTGTGCTTCTGGGAGATGCCAAGGGCTCTGGAGTGAGTCACGCGGGGAGTATCAGGCAGAGTAGGGTTGAAGACTTCAGGATTAATGATTAACTTCTGAACCAGTTGGTGAATGGAATTTAAATGCTACATGCCTGTCTTGAATAAATTCTCTCCACATGCTTGCTGTTGCATCTGATTTCTTTACAGTGCACTTTTATTACAGGTAACTCATTCACACTGAGTTAAAATGGCACAGTCTTTCAACAGAGCTGTATTGTACGCTGTACTCAAGGAGGGTGAATGAGAGAGGAAAGGAAGTAAAGAGGTGCCAATGGGGAGGCCGGGGCACAGAGCCAAGAGACCCTTATTTCCACCAGAGTCCGCTATTTCCAGTAGTCACCTTTGTTTCCCTTTCACCTGTGGATACAGAAAAAGTCGCTTGTGCATGGAGGATGTTTGCTGTAGGAGCACTGCCGGAGCAAAAGTATGCGTATGATGCGTGTAATGCAAAATGGGACATGACAAATACTTTTTTTTTTTTCTTAATCCACCTCATTACATTATAAGGGATCTTCCTTTCCAAAATACTGGCTAAATAAATGAATTATCACTCTGGGGTTCCAAGGAATGAAAATTTGAACACTGATTCTTTTTAGAGCATCTATTTTTATCCCTCCTCTAAAAAGACCTCACTGTTCCTATTTCATTCTCTCAGTCTGGTCTTTCCATTTCCCTAAAAAGCAAGATGGACTATGGAATAACTTGTGAGGCAAGCAGAATCTATATGAACACACTTCCTTTAAATTGTGACCACAATTATAATTTAATACTTCATCATTTCAAAGGTTCTGCATTATAATTTAGCCTACTTCAAAGGGTTATTATCAGGGGGAAAAATGGGATCATGAATGTTAGAGTGCTTACAAAATACAAGTGAAATCATTACAGTAATATTTTCATGGTTTAGATATTGAACAATTATGTATCTTATAACTTACTCTAGTCATTGGTATAAGTGGAATCATAATTTAAAGCATTTTCCCCCAGCCATTACCATACTCTTTTTCAGTCTCAAAATTCTAATGTTTGTTTATTGTTATTTCTCAGATATAGTAGAAGGAAAAGGAGATGATGGAGAGTCGATTTATGGACCAACATTTGAAGGTATGTATCTTTAAATTCTGTCAGTCTATATCAGCTGATAATTCAAATCTAACAAGACTGGACAATTCACAACTCCAAATAAGATGGTGTTTGGGGTAACACACTGAAAAGTGGGAGTTACAAATGGGGTAGGGGGAAACACACCCCAGTCCAGTCCAGAACAGCTTTGTATACATATTTTTTCACTTGCCTAATTATATTATTCCTTTAGGCTAAATTTCTAGAATTAGTATTGTAGGGTCAAAGGGAATTTATATATATATATATATATATGTATATATATATTTAAAGATTTTATTTATTTGACAGAGAGAGAGAGAGCGAGAGAGGGAACACAAGCAGGGGGAGTGGGAGAGGGAGAAGCAGGCTTCCCGCTGAGCAGGGAGCCCGATGTGGGACTCGATCCCAGGACCCCGGGATCATGACCCGAGCCGAAGGCAGACGCTTAACGACTGAGCCACCCAGGCGCCCCAGGAATTTATAGTTTTAAGGCTTGTAACTTGCCATGCTTGTACCCAGAATTTGGTACTTTGATAATCATCCCATTAAAACTGCTGTTGGGGACCCTGGGGAGATGAGGTCGTGGTGACGGCATAGTTTTTGATTCTTTTGAAATTCCAACATAAAAACAGACTGTATAAGTAGATAGAAAAACTAAAAACCCATGGATGACATTTACAACAAAACTAGGTGACAAGGTAACTAAATGAATTCTCAATACAAACAGATGAGGACAAACTTCCTATAGCTATGAAATCTGTAAGGTGGCAGCATCTGTGTGGGAAAAAGCAGCACATCTGGTGGACTTGAGACTAGCAGGACCCCAAAACAGCCATCAGTGGGTGAGTGCAAGGGGGTCCCTGGTAAGGTCTGAGGCTGGAACAGCCTAACCTCTCTGAACTCTTGAAACTAATCTGAAAGGGCGCTCTTCCAAGACAGGCCCACAGAAGGAGGTGTTGCTGTGAATGGAGTCAAAGTTATGCAGGATAGAAGGGCAACAGCGACAAAGAGGGAATGGGGTCAGAGCCAGAAAGTCTCAGAAAGCAAGTTGCCATACTATCGAACACTACATGAAAACAGCACAAGAGGGAGCTTTGTGAAGTCAGAAAAGCGACCTTCCTTCTAAAGCCACACCTCCTTCTAAACACCTAGGAAACCTAATTTTACATAAAAACAGGCAACAAAAAGTTTCGTGGTTATTAGAAGAAGTAAAAGAGAATAAGGAGCAGAGTAATATCACTACAGATCATGAAAGTACACTAGGAAAGACATGCTTACAAAACAGATCAAACCTGTACAAATTTCAGAGTGAGCCAGAAGACATTGAGAATATGATACAAGACAGGAAAGAACTCATAAGTCAGAATTAGAAAAACTTAGAGGTTACAGAACTAGGGAAGAATCAGCAGTAAAAGAACATTTCAGAAATAAACTAGAAGGAACATGGGTCAAATAAACACAACAGATATGTATGTCTTAAAAGAAGTAAAAGGTGGAAGGAGGGAATTTTTTAAAACCAAAAAGAAATGAAGAAAGATAAAAGGATTTACGAGAAAGTGACAAATAGCTAGAAAGAGAAGATCCAACACACGGATGGTAAGTTGTCCCTAAAGGATTAAATGAATGCTAAGGAATGGAGCAAATACTAAGAACTATATTGAAAAAACCTCCTGAGTTTAAAAAGGATTTGATGTTCTATTTTTGTTTTCGTGGTGGTTACACAGCTACACTCAACTGTCAAAATGCATCAAACTGAGCATCTAAGATAAATGCATTTTATTGTATGTTTATACCTCAAGTAAAAATATTGTATAAAAACTTGACATTACTTCTTTTTTTTAAAAAAGATTTTATTTATTTATTTGAGAGAGAGAGAATGGGAGATAGCACGAGAGGGAAGAGGGTCAGAGGGAGAAGCAGACTTCCTGCTGAGCAGGGAACCCGATGCGGGACTCGATCCCGGGACTCCAGGATCATGACCTGAGCCGAAGGCAGTTGCTTAACCAACTGAGCCACCCAGGCGCCCAACATTTCTTCTTGAAAGAGAACAATGCCACCTGATAATATTAAACCAGAACAACCAACACTAAGACATATTTTAGTAACATTTTGGACAGTTAAGAAAAAGTAAAAATTCTTTGGGCAGGTAGGCAAAAAGAGCAAGTGATTTATAAGGGAAAGAAAAGTAAGTTATCATCACATTCTTTGACATTATATTATTATGTCACAAGAAAATGGAGTAATACATTTAAGATGCTCAAGGAAAGGAATCATGAGCTAAGGATTTTATATTCAGCCAAACTGAATCTGAATTATAAAGGGCATACAGACTTTTCAGTATGTAAAACTTTAGGGAATAATGTTGCCACAAGCCCTTCTTGATCCTGAGGAATCGACTGCAGAATGAGTTTCACACAAATTATGAGACCATGACATAAGGATTGGTGATGAGCAGTAATCATATAGTGACTTGTGAAACTAAACTTTAATGAGGAATAAAGGGTGAGAGTATGATATGTAATGACTGTATCTTTAGCCTACCTTTTTAAAACTGGAAAAAATGGGGAGAATGTATGCAAAAACTTTTAACTACTTTCAGTAGTTATACTAGTGATGGTATTAATACTGTTATTTTGAGACTGTTGTATATGTAATGTGGAAAAAGTAAGTAATTATAGGATATCCTAAATTCATCGTTTCGTGTGTCCTTGAAAGAACATGATTTTCAAATGTGCAAGAAAGGAGATAAATATGCAATATGATAGAGGCTAATAAGTACAATATTCGGGGTATTGGAAATATCAGTTTAAACTCACAAAGTGTATCTACCTATATAGCTCTATCCACTGAATTGGTCTATAAGGACCAGCCTAGTAGCTTTACACACTCCTAGCATTTAGACTGGTGTTCTGAAGTGTCACTTCTCACTTAAAGAAACCAGAGCTCCTGGGAGAAATGGCAGGTTTCAGTTCCAGGACAGGAATTTACAAAATGAGCCTTGAACCTCCTGTTTAATCATGCTATATTCAGATAGCAAGAAAGCTATTAAAGATTTACTACGGTCATGTCAAAGGCCTTGGGAGACAACTTAAAGAGGCTCTCACTGGCCAAAGATTTGAACTTCAAAAAGAATAGTAATCACAAATAACTGAAACCCAACAGGTATTTTAAATCCATGAGTTCATAATGACATCATATTATAAAATAAAGCCTAATAGCTTATCTTTGGGGGAATGATGGGAAACAAATTCATTATCTTAAAAATTGATAAATACAAGGAAAGAATCAAGCATTTATCTTGCCTTTCCTATATAAACTGTACTAAATTGTAGATAAAATTGCTACTTATAAAAGCATTCCAATAGATAGATGACAAGGAAATAAAAGAATTAGAATAGCACCATTTTGCTGCCCCAGTGAAATAATGGATCTATGCCTTTGCTGCATTGGTATATGCCAACTTCACAAAAACAGGGACAACCAGACATTATGAGCCTTCTGTGGAGAGAACACACCACCAAAGGGATAGAACATGAATCTGATTAAGCCTCTGGACCCAGCTGCCAATCTGCAGGGAATACAACCAGTTGTGATGTCATATGGTCTTAAAGATCTCTGCACTATGCAAAATCATGCATTAAAAACTACAGGACTTAGGGCAAAAGTGACGTACAAAAAAGCCCTTTCTCAGTGACACATTAAAATATAGAGTAACCTGATAAAAACAGTAATGGTTTAACATATATTTTATGGTCAAGAAACACAGAAATACTATAATAAATTTGGCACTCTACCTTGAAAGCTCCCTGATGTTTGAGGAGGTGGCATGGGAAGAGTTGCAGCTTGTGAGTGATTGTGAAGTGGTGGAAGGAAGGCTCTCTGAAATTGGAGGCAGGTTGTAATATCAGATGTGGCTGGATGTGGTGGATGTGGTGACCTGTGGCGGACGTCTGAGGTGTGTGTGTTCCTATGCAGCTCGGTTCAGCTGGGAGCCATTTTCTACATTTACTTGGTGTTTCTCCTAGACATTGCACATAAACACGGGCAAGCTTCATTAATGCTCAGATGTTCCCAATATATCAATCAAGTTGAAACTAATTTGCCTTCTCAACACAAGTATTCTAGGCAAAAGGACAGGACAGAGAACACAGAAACATACTGAAATGCCCCACGCAGGTGCAATCAGCAAATTTTGGACTGGGAAAAATTCTAGAGGTTAAACAGCTCCGGTTTATTAACAGATAAGAGTAAGTAAAGGAATAGAGGCAGACCTTGAGGTTTAAAAGAGACTTAAAAGTCATAACAAGTCTTTCAAAATGGTAAAGACTGGGGTTCCTGAGTGGCTCAGTCGGTTAAGCATCTGCCTTCGGCTCAGGTCATGATCCTGGGGCCATGGGATCGAGCCCGCATCGGGCTCCTTGCTGAGCAGGGAATTTCCTTATCCCTCTCTCTCTCCCCCTCTGCCCCTCCCCCCTGCTCTCTCTCTCTCTCTCTCAAATACAATCTTCTAAAAAAAGGGAAAAAAATAAAATGGTAAAGACTAAACCATACTACCCAGTAACGACTAATAGCTATGGACTAACTACTAACGCTATTGACCTGAAGCCTTATCAAAAACATGAACAGTTGAGTAACACATATTTTGTATGTTGTATGTATTATATACCATCTTCTTACAATGAAATAAGCTAAAGAAAATGTTAAGAAAATCATAAGGAAGAGAAAATACATTTACAGTTCTGTACCGCATTGAAAAACATCCACATATGAGTGGACCCCTGCAGATCAGAACTAGTGCTGTTCAAGGGCCAACTGTATGAGGAAACATTAAGCATGAGAGCATTTAAAAGTCGGGAGTGGTTACTTTTGAACCAGACAAGGCACTTAAGCTGGACTGAGTGGGGATGAAAAGGGTGTTTCCCTTATAATAACTAATAAATATAACTATACATTAGTTTTCTATGGCTTTTGTGTCTAAATTTTAATACAATGAAAAGGTG